TACGTGTCCATTTATTGCCCTAAATGGGGAGGGGCTTCCTGCCCGGGACTTAAAGGGCCAGAGGCAGGAAGGCGGCGGGGCCCAGTGGGAAGTGTGACGGCGGGGATGGGGGCAGCGATGAGGAGGCCAGAGGGATCCTATCTGACGCCCAACTCATGGGTGGGACTGAGGCCCACCCTGTTCCCACAATCTGAGGTGTCATGGGCCAGGAAGCCCAGACAGCAGCCTGAGCCCAGGTTCCAAGAGAAAGTTTCACAACTTGACAGTGGAGGGGCTGAGCTTCCCGTCACTGGGGGCAAGCAAGGCCAGACTCTCGGAAGCCCATCCTTGTCCACCCTGCCATCAGCCCAGGCTGCACCTGCTTAGCCGAGATGCCTGTGAGAGGCCGGGGTGACCTCTCTCTCCCTCCCCTGAGGGAGGCCTGCTTGTCACCTGGAGATACCTGCCCCACCCCCACCCTCTCCTGAGCAGGTGGAAGGCTCAGCCCGGGAGGCCAGCGGCCTGCAGAATCCAGCCGGATCCTTCTCTCAGGCATCCTGATAGGTGGGATGGGCCTTGTTTTCCAGTCAAACCAGAAAGGCGTGGGTGGCGACACTTCCACTGAGTGGCCGTCCACAGCCTGCTGGGGGGACAGATGGAGGGGCCGGTCCTTTGGCCACGCTCCTCCCGAGCGCCGGATTCTCTGAGGGGCACCTTCTGCGCTTTGGGGCTCTGGACTCGGCGCTCGGGGCCCAAGGGCCAGAGCTGCTCCTCCGAGCAGCTGGGGGAGGCTGGGCCTCAATAATCGCCCCAGAGATCCACGGTATGCGCCGGCGCCCACAGTGCTGGAAGGCAGGATCTGTGTCTGTGCCCCATTTTGCAGATGGGGAATGGGATCAGAGAGGGGGAGCAGCTTGGCCAGGGTCACACAGCAGAACTGGAATTTGAGGCCGTCCGTCTGGCTGCGGCCTGCCTGACTAGTCCTCCCACAGCTCCTTCCATACCCTTTCCTGGCCCCCGGATACCAGCAGGAGATGAAATCCCCCTACCCTGGGGGCTAAGAGGAAGGACGGCTTATTCTCATACCCTCAGAGTCGCCTTGCAAGGGAGCCCGGGGCAGGGCTGGAGTCCAGCTGACATGGGCCGCACAGGGAGGGGCCTCTGCCCCTGCAGCTCTCAAGACAGCTCCCCACAGGCCTGACACACTGCACAGCAGTCGCTCAACAAACATCCCCAAGGCCCCAGTGAGGGAACCCTCTAGGGCTGACGACCATCTCCCCACTGTCCTGATGGGAAGACAGAGGCTGGCAGAGGGGGAGTGACTGCCCGGGGTGGGCCCAAGGGCTGGGCTGGGATTGGACCATGCTCACCCCCACCCAAGCTCGTTCCTCTGGTCCTTGTTGCCCAGGGCTACTGCAGGGCGGTTTATGGGCTGGCAGGTGACAGGTGGGGGTGCAGGTGTCTCACGCAGCTCTGACCCACACCCCACACTCAGGTCTCTGGCATGCCCTGAGCTGACCTGGGAGTTTCCGCCACGGAGGAGAAAAGACAACAAGGGTGACTTTGCAGGCACCAGCTGGGGGACCCTCCTCAGTCCCATGCACACAGTGCACCCCGGCTGCAGGGGTCACGGGGCTCGTCCAATGTCGCAGAGCAAGCGTGCCGGCATTCCAACCCGAGGAGCCCTCCTTGGAGCATCTGGGCTGCAGAGGGCCGGCTCTGGTGAGGTGACCTCGGTCTCCTCTGGTCGTAAAACCCAGAGCCCTGCTCGGCAGGATTGGAGAGGGGCCTCATACGCACATGCGCCAGCAAGGGCCTGCCTGGTGAGGCAGGGAGGCGAGAGGGCTGTGGCTCGTGCTGTGTGACCTTGGGAGCCATGCTGGCCCTCTCTGAGCCTCAATGTCATCTTCGGACACAGGGTTTAATAAGCCTGTGTCGGTGACGCTCCATTTGCAGGCAGGTGCCTGCAGTTGAGCCTCTACTGCCAACCTCTGGCCCTGCTCAAAGACAGGTGGGCAGGCGCCCCTCGGTGGAGCAGGCGCCCCGCAGCCACCACACGGCGGGAGGAGACTTTGGACAGGCCCCGAGCTGGAAGGATGGTGCACAGGGGGCAGCTCTGACTCCACCTGAGTGACCTTGGGCCGCTCTCTGCTTCCCCTTACACCTCAGTCTCCCCTGCCCAGCACCAGCACCTGCTCCGAGGCTTGATCTAACCTCCGGAGTTTCCAAGCTCACGTGCGACCTCCCCTCCTGGCCTCAGTTTCCTCCTCCTATGGCAACGGGGATCTGCCACCAGGTGGACCCAGCTATAGGTCAGAGGGACTCAAGGAAAGAAAAGAAACAAACAAACAACAACAACAAAAAACCCAGCAGGGACTGTGATCACCCCAGGAACCTTCCCCACCAGGCCCCAGACTGGGCTCTGCCTCGGCCGGGCCTCAGTCTCCCGCACAGAGCAAAGGACTCATCCACCGCCTGCGGCCGCCCGCGGGCCTCTGCCGATGCGTGGCTGCCCGCCCGGGCCCGGGTGCTGACTGGCCGCCACGCAGCCAATCGGAACTGAATAATAAATACCCCCCGGACCGACCCACGGATTAAAATGTCAGTGTCCCGGTTGGCTCTTCTTTCCTTCCTTAGACTTCGCTTTTCCAGCGGCCGGCTCCTGCCCCCCCTTCTCCCCCAGGCTCTGTCTCCACAGCGATGGCTGGTGGTAAACAGAGGCCCCGGCCTCGCCGATAGGTGCTCTCGGGGCCCCATGGGGGGTGGCCCTCGGGGACAAACGCCCCCGGCCTGAAGCCCTCAGGCTCCCGCAGCAGCAGGGCTGGGCCTAGGCCTGGCCTGGCCTGGGCCCCTGCCCCAGCCTGGCCTCCCCGGGACCTCTCTCAGACCAGCTTGCCAATAGGAAGTGATCGGCCGGTGGTGGGGAGGCACCCCCAGTGTGGGAGCGGCACGCTCAGGGTTACGCCCTGGTCCAGTTCTGGGGTTGGGGCGGGGGGGCTGACACGGAATCCCGACGCCCTCTCCGGAGGCAGCTGGCAGGGAGGTGGGGGGGCCCAACGAGCTCGCCACCCATGGGTGAGCCAGGTGGGTGCCGCGGGTGGCAGGGGCACCAGCACCTCTGTGACTTCCGCCGCCTGGCTAGGGGGGAGAGGAATTGCTGCCTCCCTCCGCCTCGCCGCCAACTCCTGGCTGCATTCCGCCAACATTTAGTGGGCGCCGACTGGGTGCCCGGGCCCGGGTGGACAGCACCCTCCCGCCGCGGCCCACCGTGCGCCCCCGCCAGCCAGCCCGGGCAGCGCCTCCCAGAACCCGCAGAGGCCCGGGCCCTGGGGGGGGCACCCGCTCCTGCGCTCGGCACAGCCCCCGGCCAGGCTCCCAGGCCCAAGGGGACTGGGTCTCCCGCCCGGGAGGTAGGGAGCGGGAGGGAGGGGGCCGGATCCCACCAGCTCCCCCCTCCCCTGCCCGGGCTCAGGCTTCGCACGTGGTGGTGGCGTCAAGGGGAAGGAGGGGGGGTCCGGGCCAGAGGAGACGGGGTCACGCGCTTTGGGGGCGCGGACGGCGGGGACTGGGGTGCTCTCTCCGCCCCCTCCCACGGGTCGGAGCCGGACGGCCGTCCAGGCAGGGCGAGGGGCCAGGCCGGGCCCCCCACCCGGGGCTGAGTCAGGCCCGGGCGGGGGCAGGAAGCGGCCCCCTCCCCCGCCCTGGCCGCAGCGCGCGGCCCCCGCCCGGCCCGCGGGCCCCCGCTGCCTCGCCCGCGCGGGGGGCTCCTACCTCCTTCCCGGGGCAGCGGCGAGGGGGCCCGGCCCCGGCGGCGGCGGTGGCGGCGGCTGCGGCTGGGCTGGCTCCCTCCGAGGGGCCGGGAGGCGGCAGTGAGCCTGGCCCCGCGCCACCCCCCGCCGCCGGCGGCCAATCCCCACCCGGGCTGGGGGGAGGGCGATGCAAATTACCCCGGATCTGGGTCCGCCCGCCCGCCTCCCCCACGCCCGGGCCCGGCCTGCGCTAGGCCGCGCATCCCCGGGCTCGCCTGCACCGCGCGGCCGCCCGGGCCGCCGCCCTCCCCGGGGAGCGCGGGGAGGGTGACCCCCCCCACGGGCGGGGGGCCGAGGGGAGGGGGGCTGGGGACGGTTACACAACCAGGCGGGGAGGGGCCCCGGGGCGGGGAGGGGGCCGGCCCGCGGGCCGCGCAGCCGGAAGCCGGGACCGCCACCGGCCCCCGGCGAGGGGAGCCCGGCTCCAGGCCCCGCCCCCGGGCCGGCTGGCCCCGCCCCAGCGCCGCGCCGCGCGATCGGCCCTCGCCCATTGGCTCTCCGGCCCGCCGCTCACCGCCCCTCCTCCGCACCGCCCCTACCCGCGGGCCGCGGCGGGCTGCCGGCGCGGGACATCCTGGGACTTGTAGTCCAAGCCGCTTGCCACCTGCCGGCTGCAAACGGCGGGGGGACTACGAGGCCCAGAGGTCCCCGCGGCCCCGCCCGCCCACCCGAACACCCCACCCCTTCCCCCTCCTTTCCAAAGCCCCCCTCCCTGTTTTTTCAGCCCCCTCCCCCCCATCCCCCATGGAGCTCAATCCTGGCCAACTCCAACGTATGCACGCAGCACCGAATAGGCCCCCGGGGGGCGAGAGCGCCCCTCGTCTTCAGCTGGAAACTTAGCAGGCGACGCGCCCCCCTATCTCCCCACGCCGGCTCCCCCCACCCTCAATGCAGCCCTGCTTCCCCTCCCCCGCTCCCCGCGCGCCTGGGAGCCCCGAAAAGCCATGCACCCGGGTTGGGGGGGGCTGGCGCACAAGCCCATGCACTTAGCCCCCAATCTCCCCTTCCCGGGCGGCGCCCCCTCCCCGCGCTCGGGATCCAGGGCGCCTCCAGCCTCCGGGCAGCTGCCAACCACCCCCTCCTCTGAAACTTGGGGGAATGTCCCCGGCCCCCCGGATCTCCCCTTCCCGAGGGGGCAGCGGTGGGCGCAGCGACCCCCGCTCGTCCCCGCCCTGCACTCCGTGCCAGGGGCCGCGCCGGGCGCTGACTTACCTCGCGGGGCCGGGCCGGGGCGCGCGGGGCCGGGGCCCGGAGTTGGGACTGGGCTCCCTCGGCCGCTCGCCTCCGGGGTCCGCGGCGCTTGCTCTGCCCGCGTCGCGCTGCCCTGGTCGCTCCCTCGCGCGGCGGCGGCGGCGTCACTGCCCCTACAGTAACTGTACAGTACAGCCAAAGCCCCGTATGATGCTCGCGACTCCCTTCCTGGTTTCTCCGAGGGCAAGAGGGGTCCTCCCTTGTCTTAAAGGTGCCGCAGCCGCCGGCCCCCCCACGCCCAGCCCGCCCCCCCCAGCCCGGCCTCGGAGGCCAGAACAGGCTCGGCAGGTCCCCTCTTGCCACGTCTCTGCCCTCCCGTGGGGCTTCGCCCGCTGCGCAGGGGAGACCGGGCTGTTATTAGGTTTTGTCAAGTGGGGGGGGGTCCGGCCCGCCCCGGCGCGCCCCCCCGCCTCTGACCTCTCCGCCCCGCCGCGCGGCGCCGTGCCAGCTTGCCAGCTTATCTAGCCCCAGAGCTCCCCGGGGCGCGGGGGGAGCGGGCCCCCCGGGGTGGAGGGGGGGTGGGGGCCTCCAGATAAACAGGCCCCCAGCCTCTGCGCAGGGGCGGGGTGCGGGGGGGCGCGGGCTGTGCCCCCGACGCCCGGGGCGTGGCAGGATGGCAGCGGGGGCGGGGGCGGGGAGCGCGGTGCGCACAGCGAGGAGCGACGCGGGCGTGTGGGTCGCGCGGCCCGGGCTGCCGGGGGTGGGTGGGGGGCGAGGCGGTGGGCGCCCCCCCGCAGGCCAGATGCTGGGCCTCCCCGGGCCTCAGTGGGACTTGCCGCGCCGGGGACCCCGGGGGGTGGCTTTGCCAAGGACGGCTCGGGTCCGCGGGGCTCCCGGGTCCCTAAATGAAACCACCAACCTGCCCTCCCGCGATTATATAAAGGAGTCGCCTCCACCCCGCTGCGCTAGGGGCGTCAGCGGGGGAAGGGGTTGGCGAGGGGCGGGGAGGGCGGTTGTTTTCCCGGCTTCGCGAGTTCCCCCACCCGGCTGCGGGCCGCGGGGCGGGACGGGGACCGGACCCTGGACGCCTGGGTCCGCGCGGGTCGCTCCTTGGCACAAGGGGGTCTGCATGACTCGCGAGGGGCGGAGGTGGGAAGTGGGGAGGCGTTGGCCCAGCTCTTTTTTTTTTTCTCCTGTCCGTTTCTCCCACTTCCTCCCCGGTCGTGGGAGAGGTCCGGCGGGGGACGGGGAAGGGGGAGGAGGGCACGAGTGGCGAGAACGTCCTGGCCTGGCCCGGGGAGGGCTGGCTGGTGCGACCAGGCGCCTGGGGGGCTCCGGGACTCAGTTTCCCCTTCCTCATTCCTCTGGACCGGGAGTGCTGACAGCTGCTTTAGCTGCCGTTTACTGAGCACTTATCCAGTGGGTGACCCTGTTCCGGTGCTTACTGTGCCTTCATTCTAACCTAATCCCAGGGTCATTATTATGTTTTATTATTATTTGTCATTCTTAGTACCAACACCACCTGACAGCGGGAACTACCACCGGCCTGGGTGTAGTGTACCCACCCTGTCCTCTGACTTCAAAGCCTCTCCTGCGAGAGACACAGTTTATAGCTTCTTCGCACAATTTATTAAAAGCGCCTTTCAACACCCAACCGGGTTGAATTGGCTTTTGTAATAATCTGGCTACGAGGGGAAACCCGGGAGGGCACCCCGGAGGGGAAGTGGACTGTCTCAGGACTCGCAGCCTGAAACCAGCCGAGTAGGTGGGAAGGGACCCAGGGAGGGGTCGCGTGGATCTAGAGCGAGGTGTCACCCAGGGACTTTGCTCCAAGGACCCTGCCTTGGATACAAGCCCTTCTTCCTTCAACCACCAGCCATCAGCCTCGGGACCAGGAGGCCACGCTGAAGCACGAGTCTTACCAGATCCCACTGTTGTGTTTGGATTTCTGCAAATGATGCCCGGGCCTTTTTTTTTTTTTTTTTTTTTTTTTTAAGGCAGACTTGCTCTGTTGCCCAGCCTGGAGCGCAATGGCGCGATCTGGGCCCACTGCAACTTCCGCCTCCTGGGTTCAAGCGATTCTCCTGCCTCGGCCTCCTGAGTAGCTGGGATTACAGGCGTGCACCACCAAGCCCAGCTAAGTTTAAATTTTTAGTAGAGACAGGGTTTCACCATGTGGGCAAGGCTAGTCTCAAACTCCTGACCTCGTGATGTGCCCGCCTTGGCCTCCCAAAATGCTGGGATTACAGGCATAAGCCATTGTGCCCGGCCTCTAATTTTGTATTTTTAGTAGAGACGGGATTTCTCCATGTTATTCAGGCTGGTCTTGAACTCCCGACCTCAGGTGATCTGCCTGCCTCGGCCTCCCAAAGTGCTGGGATTACAGGCATGAGCCACTGCACCCGGCCATAGCCAGGGTTATTATCCTTGGTGGATAGACGTAGACAGGGGACCAGGGAGGAGGAATAACTTATCAAAGACACATAGGGAGTGATTGGGGGGACTTGAATTTCAGTTCTGTTGACTAGACTTTGCTGTGAAGCCTGTAATATTTTATTTTATTTTTATTTAGTTATTTATTTTGATACGGAGTCTCGCTCTGTTGCCCAGGCTGGAGTGCAGTGCCGCAATCTCAGCTCACTGCAACCTCCACCTCCCGGGTTCAAGCAATTCTTGTGCCTCAGCCTCCAAGTAGCTGGGACTACAGGTGCATGCCACCATGCACAGCTAATTTTTGTATTTTGACTAGAGACGGAGTTTCACCATATTGGCCAGGCTGGTCTCAAATTCCTGACCTCATGATCCACCCACCTTGGCCTCCCAAAGTGCTGGGATTACAGGTGTGGGCCACCGTGCCTGGCCTTTTTTTTTTTTTTTAATAGAGATTTGGTGGGGCGGGGGGGTCTTGCTATGTTTCCCAGGTCTCAAACGCCTGGGCTTCAGTGATCCTCCCACCTGAGCCTCCCACAGTGCTGAGATGACAGTCATGAACCATCGTGCCAGCGAGACGCCCAGGCTCTAAGCTCTACATGGTCTAACCTCCCCCACACCAGGAGCAGCAGGTGACTCAGTTTCCCCTCCTGTACCGCCAGCCTCAGATCCGATTCTGCAGGAAAAGGATAGAGAAGGCCCTACACAGATTCTCCATGGTGAGAAGCTGACTCAGAAGGGACAGGGACTTCTCTGTAAGACAGGCATTTACCCTAATCCTCATCGCAGCCCTGAGAAAAAGCAGAGAGCACAATTTCCATCATACCGTTGATGGAATTGAGGCCCAGAGATGGACAAGGAGCAAGGATGTTAAATCCAGCATTCACGTGTCTCTGGACACTGCCGGGGGACTGAAGGGAGGTCCTTCAGTAAGTGCCAGGATGTGGCACACCCCAAACCACGCCCCCCACCCCTGTCATGAAAACAGAACGAAGGGGACCCAAAGCTTCCTCCTGACCTCTGCCCTTCACTTCCTTTTTCCTCCCCCAACCAAAAAAAAGAAAAAAAAAACCGAGTTGATACTATTTGAAAACTTAATAAAGTATAAAAGATTGATTTGCTGTGTGATCTTGGGAAGGTTGCTTAACCTCTCTGATCCTTAGACTTCTTTGGAGAGAAGAATCAATGCAACTTCCTAGGGTTGTGACAAGGGAGAAATGAGACGGTGCATGGAACGCTGAGACAGCACAACCCCTGCACCAGGGAGGTCTTCAATACATGATAGGTGTGATTATATTATTAATGTTTGGGCCACGCCTATTATTTTTGTCTCTGTGTAGCCAGGGGTTTTCTGTTGGTTTGTTTGTGAGATGGAGTTTCACTCTCATTGCCCAGGCTGGAGTGTAATGGCACAATCTTGGCTTATCACAGCCTCTACCTCCGAGGTTCAAGCGATTTTCCTGCCTCAGCCTCCTGAGTAGCTGGGATTACAGGCATGCGCCACTACGCCCGGCTTTTTTTTTTTTTT